CACACACTGTGTCTGGCAATGTTTTTGGGCAAAAATAATTTTTAGCCTGCGGCTAAAATTATTTATAATATTTAATAACCGTAAAAGTGTATAAAATTTGTATATTTTTTATATATAATATAGAGAAATGTATATATACAAAAAAATGGGCTATTATTTTAAGAGCGACTATACATTGTCATTTTCCTAATTTTTTCGTTCGATGACGATATATTGATCCCAATTAATTCTAATTCGCACAAAAGCGTTCTCTATGAGAATTTTTTACATACTCAATATTCGAATCCAAAACTTACGGTAAAAGGTAAGGAATTTTATTCCTTCCATCATAATGTGTGGCCGTAATGTTAGACCATTTTGAAATTTGGGAGACATGTCCATCTTTATTTTGGAAAAAAAAAAAAAGAAGAGAAATAGGAATTAAAACCATAGGGAAATGAACAATTTTACTTTCACTCCCACCTCATTTTATTTGTCTTGAATTTTCAAAGTTTTGAATTATGTTTTGAAACTTCTTCAATTTATTTTCTTGCAATCTTCAGAATTTAGTTTGGAATTCCGAAATTCGAAGGATTTAGTGTCAAATCAGTGCTTGAATTAAAATTAAAAACGAGTGTTAATAAAATAGAGGAGAACTCGGTAAATTACAAGAGTGCGGTAAATCTTTTCTCCTTTTACTCTCATTGGAGCCTATTCTATCTGTTGTAACTAATAAGTAACAGAACTACGAAAAAAGTGCCTAGACTTTTAACTTCACAATTGTATAATAAATAGAAGTCAATTCTTTCATAATATTGTTTCCATCCTATCAAACAGACTTTGTCTCAGTGACCTTCCTTCTGAGTGTGTCTTTTATATGTCATTTTTAGTGTATCCATATGATTTAGAGACTCTAATATTCCACATGCGTGTCTTAATTTGGTGTATATGTATATGGTTATAATTTTTGTTAGGTAGCTGTAGTATTCTATTATATATTGTTATGTATTGACTCATGTAAATAAAGCTGGTTAGATAAGCCTAGAAAAATATGAGTCTACCTAGAAATTATTAGCATATTGTTTGGAACATGTCAAAAATTTCAGTGACCTAGCTAGAGCTGTCAATTAGTCAAATAACTTTATTAATATTTACTTATGAAAACACTTGGGAATTCTTGGAGTTTAAGGGAAAGACCACTGACTAAAAAACAAAGCAAAAGTCTATGCATTACTATATTATACACAGCACAGCATTTTCCAATAGTATTTGAGATGAATCTCCAATCAGCTACTGTTGTTCTTTTCTTTTCTTTTTTGTTTAAGTTTTATGTGTTGATGCTATACAAATTATTTGCACAATCAGATTGCTTATCCGGATAATTAATACAGGTAAAACTCTTGATAATTATTAATTGATAAACTAGTTAAAATAATACTACTTTTGTTCCAATTTATGTGATTTATTTGACTGAGCACAGAATTTAAGAAAAAAATAAAGACTTTTAGAACTTGTGGTCTGAAACAATTTCTAACATTTGTGTGACTATAATTCTTTTATACCTTGTGGTGTTAAACACACCAGATTGTTTGAGTATCTATAAAAACTTCTCATTTTAAGTTATTTCAGAATTTAGAAAGACGTCACTCTTTTTGGACCGGCCTAAAAGAATTTTATTTCACATAAACTGGAACGGAGGGAGTAAGTAATCTGTTATTACGAATTAAAAATCACTTGTAGTGTAAAAAAATCTTTACACCATTCGTGTTCTATACTAAATCTTTTTTATTTTTTGGCAAGAGATAGTTGTTCAGCAAAAGTAAGTTAGAAATAGGTCTGTCCTTTTGACTTTGTAACTCTGAAATGAAAATTTCAAAATCCCTTCTATTTTACTGTTACCNNCCCCCCCCCCCACCAACAAAACTCACTCTTATTAATATAAAAGCTCTAGTTAGCAAAGACACCCTTGTCCATCTGTCTATATAGGTAGAAAGAGAGTAAAGGAGAAAACATATCCTCCTCAAGATTGTCAAAAAGATTAAACACTAGAGAGTGGGAGAGTACTAGCAATAAGAAAGGAATATGGGGAGAGCTCCATGTTGTGATAAAGCAAATGTGAAGAGAGGGCCATGGTCTCCTGAAGAAGATGCTAAACTCAAAGATTTCATTCACAAATATGGAACTGGTGGAAATTGGATTGCTCTTCCTCAAAAAGCTGGTAACAACAACTTCTACTCCACTAGTCCTCTATGTCTATGTATTTTCTTTTTATTCCCAGAATCGAAACGACAAAGGGTTAAATCTCAGTGGATCGTGGTAGCAAGGTCACTCCGCCATTTATAATATCCTCTCGCGTATTCCACCAGTTCCATATGTGTAATTTTCTTTTTTGTTATTATTCACAAATCCAAGCGACAAAGTGTTGAATCTCAGTGGATTGTGGTAGCATGGTCACACTCTACCGCTTACAATATCTGGTCGCGTATTTAACATTGTTTGTATGTATATGTTTGAATATAGGGGGAGGGAAGCTTGTATTTATACTTCGAATGGATTGAGTTTTTTCTCTCTCTCTTGTTACTGCATTATTTATGATTTTGATGAGATATATGTTTGGAACTGCAGGACTAAAGAGATGTGGGAAGAGTTGTAGATTGAGATGGCTAAATTATTTAAGGCCTAACATTAAACATGGTGATTTTTCTGAGGAAGAAGATAGAGTTATTTGCAGCTTATATTCCACCATTGGAAGCAGGTATAATATATATATATATATATATATATATATATATATATATATATATATATATATATATATCCTTTTTTTGGTCTTAAATTTTTTTCCATTTTTTATCATCTTTCTGATGAATTTGAGACTGAAACAAAAACTGTTCCCACTAAAAATGGAAAAGAAAAACCTCAATAAGTAAGAAAATGGAAAAAAACAATGAGGGCTCGGAAAGAAATGCAAATAGTCTGTTGGATTTTTAATTAAAGATTCTGCCATTTATGGACATATTTTTCTGCATGCATGCCAGGTTTAGATCTAAGATCAAGTCCTTATTTACTCACTTACAGCTGTTTAATTATTAAGACAAAGTTCCAATTTTTCTTCTTTCTTCTCTTTCTTTTTGTGGAAATATTTTCTCTAGTAAACCAATTAATTTTTGCTATAACATGTGCAATATATTATGTTAACAGGTGGTCAATAATAGCAGCTCAATTACCGGGAAGAACTGACAATGATATCAAGAATTACTGGAATACGAAGCTCAAGAAAAAACTTATGGGATTAATGCAATCAACAAACCAAAGAAAATCACCATATTTTCCAGCTGCTAATTCTCTTCAAACCCAACCCCAGATAAATTCAAGTCTTTTTAGAGACTTATATTACACCCCAAATAATAGGCCTAATATTACAGGTCTAAATCAGTCCATTTCTTCTGCCCAACCAAATTTTCTGTACACTAATAACAGTAACATGAATTTTCCTAATTTGGGTGCTACAAATAATCAATATCCTTATAATATCCAAAGTCATAATTTACTTATGTTTGGAGAAGCAAGTTGTTCTTCATCAGATGGAAGTTGCAGCCAAATGAGTTTTGGTAAAGAAATCAAGAGAGAAGAAATTATGAGTAATTGTTTACAACAAGGTCAAATTTCAAGTGTTAATAATGCTTTTGAAGAAAACCACCAGAATTTTACTCTTGATTATGGCAACAGTAGTAGTAATTGGGTGGATCAAAAACCAAATGTGTATTTTGGTAATACTACTACTACTCAAGTACTTCAGTATGATAATGTTGAAGAAGTTAAGCAGCAGCTAACAAGTTGTACCAATGGCAACAATGGCAGTACTATTGGATGTAACAACAACAACAGTATGTTCGTGTTCAATGATGAGAATTATAACAAGTCAAATGAGATAGAGATGTTCTATTACTGAAGAAGAAATGACTGTTGAAAAGAAAACAAATGTAAGTACCATTAGGAAAGGGCGTTTGGTTATGGGGGTTGCCAAGAAGATTCAGACTTTTTTTGGGGTTTTGTGTAGTTGTGGTAGAATTATTATTGAATGAAAAAAAAAAACCTTCTTGTACTTTAATTCGTCAGTACATAGTACATACTACTACAAAGTAGTAAAGCCTATTCTTTTTGTGCTTTTTCTTTTTTTTTTGTTTTTCATTCGGTGTCCAATAATTATACTGGGACTCTGATTCAATTTGAATTTGAGCAAGGAAAATCAACATTACTCAAGATCTTTGATTAAAAATGAAGTAGTACTTATAATAACTCCACCACAATTCTTATTGGTGTGCATTTCTTTATAAAATAGGTAAATAACTGGTCATATCTATTGTTTATCTTTTTTTTAGTCATATACATAGATTTTAAATTAATTATACGTAATTATATACACATATAGTACATGAATTATGTATATATTATACCTTCACTAGTTATTTTTAGTTTAAGCGATTTGGTAAGAGGTTACTTGGGTTAATTCTTCTTTTTTATATATATATCAAAATAATGAAGTATAATACACTTAAAAATCATATAAAAATGTACTAAAGACGACTTAGGAGAGTTCTTAAAAAACCATTTTGGAACCTTGTTTGTCTACGTATACTTTAATGCAATAGCTGCTTTTGTTTGTCTCTGCTAAAACCTATGCTCCCCAGCCGTGCACCAATCAGCTTAAAAGTTAGAACTCAGAAATAAATGTAACTATACTCAACAGAAAGTTAAAAAGTTTTACTGTTACCATTCACTCAAGGATCAGAAACTGAAAGACAAATGAATCAGTGCTTCACTGTTCTTCACTAAAAGAAATACTGTTTACATTAGTTTCAAAAGAGTTTTAATCATAAAAACAAATGTACAATAAAAAAGGGAGATTATCAACTTGAAAATGAAACAGAACATACGTTATATATCGAGCTGTATACGGTCGAGCTCGGACTCGTCTATTACACGACAGATCGGGATTGAAACGTAACAGTTTTGAAGATCGACCCCGGGTTCCGTCGGACCGAGGTACGAGGTCAGAATGCCCGTTCTTGAGAACATCGAGTCCATGACCCCGAAATCAAACCCTGACCCCGAATGAGCTCGAGGAAACATTGCCAAACCGAATAACGGAAGGCGAAATATCCGTAATCGGTCGGGTATCACGGCGGGAATTTCGGCACATATCAATGAGAAACCGCCTAATTAGCAAATCATGGGATTTTTTTACCTTTTATAGAATTGTAACTAAAGTGGGACTCCCCTACTATGTAAAGGGGGTCTGATTATTTGTAGGGGACATTCATTAAATGCATCCCAAAGCAATATAATATTATTTTCTTGCTGTAAGCTATTGTTCTCCTGTATCTGATACCATTTGAATTGCATCCAGTTCAAGTGAGACTCATTTTTTCAAGGCTATAAATGTTCAAATCGCACGGTTTGAATTTATTCTATCATTGTTCGCTTTAATTGCAATTCAATTCATCGCTTTATGTCAAATTAATCCATGTATCCTTAAAGCCACTTACAAATTTAATTGTTATTTGATTTTAAGGGTAAACATTTGGCGCCCACTGTGGGGCTAAGGATAATAGTGGTTGTTTGATACAGATTTTCATAACACACATTATTTTACACTTGTTCTTCGAAGTGTCTATCATTTCAGGTTTAAGCTCGAATGTCAAACTCACAATTGGCACCCCTATCCTGCTGACAATGAGTCCGGTCACCACGGTGAAAATAACAACATAGCGCCCGGTAACGAGGTACCGCCCGCTGATCCCATCAAAATTTCAGTCGCGGACCCGTTAGACGCTAACTCGCATGTGGCTATCGACACAAATCTGCCTACCGACCCTGAGAATAACATCCGTGGTGGAGCCCGATCGACAACACATAATACTAAAAACAATGGAGGAGACGGGATCATTCTACGAATGATATTCGAAATGCTACGGCTCAACAGGCGATGATAGCTCAGTTACAACACCAAAGCTGCACACCGAGCAGAGTTGAACCCGATCCGTCTCGAAAAATCACCTGCAGGGAAGAATCGGTCGTGGAGAGGTCGAATGGAGATGAGTCGGGGACTAACCTCAAGATCATAAAAATGCTTGAGGAACTGGCGATACAGATAGAATCAGGGGAAAAGAAAATCGAGGCAAATGACAAGTAGGTAGAAACTTACAATTTCATGGGTCAACCAAATCCCGGGAGCACCGCCGGCACTGAAAAGCTTGGATTCCAAGAAGTTCGTGCAAAAACCTTTCCCTCTGAGTGCGGCCTCGAAATCGATCCCTAAAACATTTCGTATGCCCGAGATTCTTAAGATAACGGGACGACCGACCCAAACGAGCATATCACTTCCTAGACATGCGCTATCAAAGGGAACGACTTGGAGGATGATGAGATCGAGTCTGTTTTGTTGAAGAAATTCGGAGAGACCTTGTCAAAGGGAGTTATGATATGGTATCACTTACCTCCTAATTCTATTGACTCATTTGATATGCTTGCAGACTCTTTCGTGAAAGCACACGCCGGGGCTATCAAGGTCGAGACCAGGAAGTCGGGCCTCTTCAAAGTAAGACAGAAGGATAATGAGATGCTCAGAGAGTTTGTGTCCCAGTTTCAAATGAAACGGATGGACCTGCCACCGATTGCTGATGATTGGGCCGTTCAAGCTTTCACCCAAGGACTCAATGTTCGAAGCTTTACTTGAAGCAAAATCTGATAGAGTACCCAACTGTTACTCGGGTCGATGTGCATAACCGATATCAATCAAAAATCAAAGTCGAAGATGATCAACTTGAGGCTCCTTCCGAGTCGGTTTACGCTATCAGACCCGTCGACAGAATCAAGGGAGATATCGACCGTGAACTAAGGTCAAACACAGATCGTTACCAGTCGTATAATGGAGATCGGAGAAGCAATAGGTTCGGGTAAAGTTTTATATGGAACGAAAATAGAAATGATTGAGGTTAGAGCACTCAAGGACTCACGAGCAAGAACGGCTTCGACATGCCCATCGGCCCTAAAAAAGCACCAAGGTTATCGGAATATAACTTTAATGTTGATGCGGCTCCCATCGTATCAGCTATCGGACGTATCAAAGATACCAAATGGCCTCAACCTTTACAATCCGACCCAGCCCAAAGGGATCCTAACCAAATGTGTAAATATCATGGAACTCCTGGCCACAAAATAGAGGATTGCTGATAGTTAAGAGAGGAAGTAGCCCGGTTGTTCAACAACGGGAACCATCGAGAATTTCTTTGCGACCGAGCCAAGAATCATTTCAGAAACAGGGATTCTAACAAACACACCCAACCAAAAGAACCTCAACACGTCATTAACATGATCATCGGTGGAGTCGATGCCCCTCAAGGGCCGATGTTGAAGCGTGCCAAAAGTGTCCATTACAAGGGGAAAAAATGGACTCGAGATTACATATCAGAAGGAACCTTGTCTTTCAACGACGAGGATGCAGAAGGGATCGTGCAGCCTCAGAACAATGCATTGCTAATATCTGTATTCATTAATAAATCTCAAGTTAAGCGTGTGTTAATTGATCCAGGTAGCTCGGCCAACATCATCCGATCGAGGGCCTAAGAATAGCTCGGCCTACAAGATCAAATTGTTCCTACAATCTGAGTTCTAAACGGATTCAACATGGCATGCAAACCCACTAAGGGAGAAATCACATTGTCGGTGAATACCAACGGAACCATCCAGGAAACCAAGTTTTATGTGATCGAAGAAGACATGAGGTACAACGCCCTATTCGGGAGGCCATGGATCCCCAACATGAGGGCAGCACCCTCGACTCTTCACCAAGTGTTAAAGTTCCCAACACCGGGAGGGATCAAAACATTATGCGGGGAGCAACCGGCCGCAAAGGAAATGTTTACAGTCGAAGAAGAGATCCCGATATCGACAATGGCAACATCAAAGGAACCGAGTTCGGATAAAAAACAAGAGGCTCTATAGCAATTATCGACACCGGCCACGACCCAATAGGATAAACAGGGGACTGATGAAGGCGATGATTACGGGGTTCCCAGATCTTTTATAGCCCCCGATGATTCCGACGCCACCAAATCAACGATCGAGGAGATGGAACATGTCACATTGATCGAACGTCTACCCGATCGGAAGGTATACTTGGGCACGGGGTTATCCCCCGAGCTTAGGAAAAAACTCATTCAATTTCTTATAGCTAACATAGATTGTTTCGCTTTGTCCCATCTTGATATGACAAGGATCCCACCGGAGATAATCACTCACAAGCTGAGCCTGGACCCAAAATTCCACCCAGTCAAGCTAAAACGGAGACCCCAATCTGAAATCAAACGTGCTTTCATCAAGGACGAGCATTTGCAAGAAACCTTCAGCATATTGAAGAAGTACAATATGAAGCTGAACCCGGAGAAATGTGCATTCGGAGTCGGATTAGGTAAATTCCTCGGGTTCATGGTATCCAATCGGGGAATCGAGATCAACCCCGAAAAGATCAAAGCCATCGAAAATATCACGATCGTGGACAATGTGAAGGTCGTGCAAAGATTAATCGGCCGCATATCCGCCCTGGGGCGATTCAACTCGAGATCCTCAGATAAGAGTCACCGATTCTTTTCGCTACTAAAGAAGAAGAACAATTTTTTGTGGACCCCGGAGTGTCAACGAGCCTTGGAGGAACTCAAGCAGTATCTATTGAGCCCACCGCTGCTTCACACACCGAAGGCAGACGAACAACTATACTTATACTTGGCAGTATTGGAGATAGCAGTAACTGGATTCTTGGTCCGGGAAGAACAAGGTACGCAATTTTTAATTTATTATGTTAGCAGGACCCTAGGTGAGGCCGATACTAGGTACCCTCACCTAGAAATATTGGCGCTCACTTTGCTAAGCGCATCTAGGAAACTGAAACCATATTTCCAGTGCCATCCCATATTTGTTGTGACTACCAACCAATTGCAAAATATAATGAATAAACCCGAACTCTAATCAGCGGGTATGATATTGAGTATTGACACCGGACAACCATTAAGTCTCAAAAAAGAGTTGTTAGTAAACTCGGGGACGTCTTCGGGAATCTGAACCCTCTTTACGGACGGCGCCTTAAACGCAAAAAGGTCCAAAGTTG